ATTTTGGCATGAGTGTGCACATTGCAGAGGGGCGCATCCTGCAATACGCTGTTTCAAGAAGAGCATACCCAGTGGAGGAGGACCACGGTGACTGCAGGAAGGATGCGCGCTTGACTTGACCAGTATCCTAAACAGAGTGATGCCGAGGTGTTGTTCAACAGGTTTGCGATTGGTTTTTGTATGCAGTTCATAGAGTCGGAGGAGGCTCTGTTTGCGGGTAATCTTCAGTCGATTCGGTATCGACCGAAGATTATCCACAAACAGAGCCTCCTCCGACTCTACAAACGGGATATTCTCCAGGAAGAAATTGGATGCCGAGGCTCGGCGGGGTCTTTTGATTCCCCCCTTTCCCGATTTGAGGATTTCTCCCCTTGGTTTGGTCCCCATCGGGTGCGTCAGTCAACGACTACATAGACAAGGCACTTTGTAGGGTTCATTATGCGTCGTTTGACAGGGTGTTGGAGCTGGTTTGGTGGGCGGTGGCTAGGGCCTGGTTGGCCAAGTCCGACATTGAGTCTGCTTTTCAGTTGTTTCCGGTATACCCTCCCCTCCCTGTCCCTTGGTGCACCCCCACCCCCTTTGTGGTCACACTCCCCTTCCTGGTGTGCCTCCTATATCTCTTGTAGCATTGCAGAGTGGAGCAGATCCCTTACAGGAGCTTCAGTTTTCTGTACCCGGCCAGACTCACAGGGAGTGCTCTCTCGGTGAGCACCTCCTGTCAGTCTGGCTGGGTACAGGAAACAGAAGCTCCTGTACCGCGCTCTGCCACGCTACACTCAGTGGTGCATACACACTGACAGTCACACACTCAATGACAAACACACAGACGTCACTGACAGACACACACTCATTCATTGACACACACACACACACACTGACAGACACACACACACTGATTGAGACTCATTGACAGACACACTGATAGTCACACACAGACTCAATGACAAACATACTCTCACTGATTTGACAGACACTCACAAACACACTGACAGACACACACTCATACACTCACACACACTTCCTCACACATACACTTACACACACACACACACAGCCACTCACAGACACACTCACTCACTCACACATACACATCACATACACTCACTAATGATTATTTTTATAAATAAACATTTTCCACCCAGCCTCCCTACCAGTGGGGCTGCTGGGCGGCATGTGGCAGTGATATAATCAGAGGTGGCGAGGGAGCTCTATTCTCCCCACTCTGCTCCCTCGCGGGCTGTCTACTGATGCCAGGAGACATCATATTCCGTCTCCCACTGCATCAGCAAACGGCGTGCGAGGGAGCAGAGCAGGGAGATTAGAGCTCCCTCGCCGCCTCTGATTACACCACTACCGCATGCCATGCCGTTTGTACTTCCCTCCTTCCGGTCACTGAAATTTTGCACCCCTAGAGCTGGCGCGCCCTAAGGCGACTATCTGTGCCGCCTTATGGATGCGCCAGCCCTGGTCAATGGTGTGTGGAAGCATGGCCCGCCGACTTGCAACATGAGTGTTTTCGATGTTGTGGCAGAAATGCCTCTGTCACGTGTTCTTGGAGGGGCCTGCTTGCTTGCCTCCTGACAAGACTATGGGCCCTTTAAAAATGTATGTTAAAAACATAAAAAAAGACAGACATGGTCGGTCAAAATTATGACTTCCATGGAAATCATGAACCCTGAACCGATCTGGGTGATTTTTGGATATGTTGGTCCCCCAGATCAGGGCTATCAGGGGATATAACGTTGTGGGGTTTACATGTGTTTTAGGGGTACTTTTGGGGTGTTGTATTGCATGTTTTTTTTATACTGAGAGATAATTTAAAGGATCACTATAGTGTCAGGAAAACAAAGCGGTTTTCCTGACACTATAGTGCCTGAGGGTGCCCACACCCTCAGGGTCCCCCTCCCATGGCGCTGAAGGGGTTAAAACCCCTTTTGGGTCCTTTAGGGTAGACGAATTGGTTGCGCCTAACCTTCGGTCGGTTTTGCCGTTGTTTCTGGCAGATGTGCGGTGGTCCAAGACATCTTCGTACGTCATTCTAAGACGGATCGCGTGGGTCAGTGTGCTTGGGTACCCAAGCACACTGACCCACGCGATCCGTCTTAGACCGACGTACGAAGATGTCTTGGACCACCGCATCGGAGCTACAGGTAGGTACTATTGTCCAGTTGGGTCTTTAGAGCTAACCCCTTTTGGTGCACTCGCTACCAATTCATGAACATATTACAGAGGGTGTTGGTTGTTTACGGAGAGGACGGGCAGGGGTACTCAACCCATTCCTTTCGGGTTGGGGCCACCACGCAGGCGAGTCTGCTGGGCTTTCCTACCTCTGTTATTAAGCGTATTGGCAGGTGGGAATCAGGGTGTTTAGGGCATACATAAGGCCTCACTTGTAATGTTTTTCTCGTTATAGGTTCAGGCCCGCGGTATGTCTGGATATTGGGACATTGCTTCATATATTGAGCTGCTTGGCGAGCGAAAGAATGCAAATATGGATGAAATTTGGGGTTTTCCTTCGAGGTAGCTAGGGTTAAGTGGCGGGGAATTAGGGGTCTCCTCTGGCTACAGGTGTATCCGGAGTGCGTGGTGCTGCGCAGATTCGTATCTGGCCCGGTTAAGAAGTTGCTGTCATTTGTTAATAAATAAAGCAGTGGCCATTACCCTTATCCAACATATTAAGGTCTCATGTGTTTTATTGGGGCAATTGGGGTTGGTTGTTGGTTTAGTCAGCCGTTATGTGATAATGGACTTTTTTAGTACAAGGTGAGAAGAGAGGACAAAAGCAGATGTCAGCACCAGCACACGATGGTATAATAATTACACCAGTGACATCTTCAACAAAGGAGCAGATATACTGTACAGATATACAATTCCTCAACATTATCCCCAGTCAAGTAATAACACACAAAATATCAGACACCCATTAGCATTAGACATCCATACCCAAGTAGTCCCAAGCATTTTTCATCACCCACTAATCCCAGCTAACCTTCCGCACCCTATGTCTCAGCCACTTCATTTTCCCTTCAGAAAGTTTGATAAAAATCTATCAGTACCTCCATCTCAGCTTCCTTGAATTTACCTTTTTTTGCTGCTGCTCCCACTATTGCAAGGGTAGGCAACCTTTTGGTAGCGCTATGCTAATTGAAAGTTCTGATGAAAGTTCTGATGTCCCTTATGGTGCCAGCCCTAATTTTTTTAAGGTAACGTTTATGTATGTTGGGAAATTCTGCATGTATTATGTATGGGTGTGGCGGCTGCTTTGTGAGGTTTTATGTGTGTATATGTGAGCTATGTGTGGTGTTGTGAATGTGGTTGAGCTGTATGTATTGTGTTTATGTTATGTCTATATGGTGGCGGTGTGTGTTTTTATTTGTAAGTATGTGTGTGAGCTTCCTCTGATGTTAAGTGGTTGCCTATATGTGTTGATCTACTATAGGTGTGTGTTATAGGGCTACCTGTGGTGTTGTATGTGGTATTGTGTGTTATGGAGGCTGTATATTGTGTTGCATGTATGTACCCCCACCTCCACCCACACAATCACCCACACACATACAGCACCCACACACATACAGCACCCACACAGCACGCACACACATACAGCACCCACACACATACAGCACACACACATACAGCACACATACAGCACCCACACACATACATCACCCACACACATACAGCGCACACACACATACAGCACCCACAGACATACAACACCCACAGACATACAGCACCCACAGACACAGCACCCACAGACACAGCACCCACAGACATACACATCACCCACACACATACAGCACCCACAGACATACACAGCACCAACACACACACAGCACCCTCACACACTGCACACAAACAGCACCCTCACACACACACAGCACACTAACGGTACCCTCACAAACACAAACAGGACCCTAACAAACACACACACAGCACACTACCAGCACCCTCACAAACAAACAGCATCCTCACATACAGTACATTAACAGCACCCTCACAAGCGCACACACACACACAAACAGCACCCTCACACACAGTACATTAACAGCATCCTTACAAGCACGCACGCACACACAAACACCCTCACCCACATAGCACACTACCAGCACCGTCACACACACATCACACTAACAGCACCCTCACACAGCACACACACACACTCAGCAGTGTGTGTATGTGTATATATGTGTATGTGTGTATATATATATATATATTTATATATATATATATATATATATATATATATATATATATATATACATATATATATGCGGCGTGTGCTTGTGCTTTAGGGTGCACACCCTAATGCAATAGGCTGCGCACGCCTATGCTGATAAGTGTATATATGGTGAGCGCTGTATGTGGGGGGGGGGGGTACTGCCAACAGAATTGTTTATATGTGACTATCTGAAGTGTTGTCGGGTTTGTATGTGGAGAATGTGTGCAGAGATTTATTTATGCAGGAAATGTTGGTTTAATTAAAAAAAAGTTATTAGAAGTTGTTTTGTGTCCCCTCCATCTTGCCTACCAATAATATGAGTAAAAATCAAGCAAAAATGCAACTACAATTTCATGTAATTTTCAAGGAGTTTTTTTTTTTTTATTGGATGTAATTGTGTACAAACTACTTGAAGTATCATCTAGTTATGCAATTTAAAACTCATGCAACATGCAAATTGCTAACTTTTTTACTACAGGATGTAAATAGAATGTGATGAGGGAACTGCACATTATAAGAGACGCATAACACATTCAGATTAGGTGTCCCCCCTTATTGTAATTTAGGGCCCCCACCCGCCGCTCAGGGGTTGGGGCCAGAAGGAGGACAATAGGTGTCCCCCCTTATTGGTATTTAGGGCCCCCACCCGCCGCTAGGGGGGAGGACAATAGGTCCACCCCCATTATTTTACTTTAGGGCCCCCACCCGCCGCTCGGGGGTGGGGGCTGGGGGAGGACAGTAGGTTCCCCCCCCTTTTTTACTTTAGGGCCTCCACCCGCTGCTCAGGAGTGGGGCCGGGGGGAGGACAATAGGTCCCCCCCTTTTTATCTGAATTAGAGCCCCCACCCGCCCCCTTCAGTTTAAAAGCTCCCACTCGCGCGGCACGGGTGGGGGCTCGGGAGGGGGGACACTTTTTTTTTTTTTTTTTAACAGTGAGTAGCCACAGATGGGATCTACCTTTTGGCCACTCTAGAGGGGTCCCATAAAACACCAGGGCCTTCACAAGACACATCTCACAGAAAGATAACCCAGAGCTCTAGGAGAGGATACAAATCTGGCACCCTACCTTGAGCTTTGGGCAACCTTACTCTGCCTATGGGCAAAAATACCATAGCCACATGATGGCACACAGGGATGTATGACCCTAATACAATACTAGTCTGTGTCTAGAGTGAAAGAACAGCCAGGACATTAGAGAATATGCCACTTTTGAAACTTTCATATGAATGTTTCTTAAACACTCCATGTAAGGAACTTGCGACACTAGCTGATATGGGGGGGAGGAATGATTACCCTAGGGCAGGTGGTCACCCATTCTGGGACCCAACTGCAAAAAGTGAATGTGACTAGCATATTGATAGATTCTGTGCAGGAACCTCAGCTAATGCTGCTCACTGAGTGCGGTCTGTGAGTAGCTCTGTTTCCAGAGCAGATTGGCATGGTATTAGGGATGAGCTGCTTTGGCTGTAACAAGGGCTGCTATTATGGTGAGTGTTGTTTGGAAGGCCGTCCCTGGGCCCCATGCGAGAACTCTTCAGCAGGGCCTGTGCATAGGGTGCCCTGGAGAGGCATCAAACTCTTTGTGTGCAAGAGTGGGATGTGCGCAAGTCAATGATGACACAACATGCCTCCTCCTTATGGGCTGATCTGCCTTACAATGCCTGGGCTGAGTGTTTGACCCTGCCTCTGTATTTGTGCATCAGATGATACACCGCAACCAGAGGCGTAACTAGAAACCACCCGGTCATGGTGTGAAAACTACACTGGGACTCCCCCCTTATGTTTTATTCCTCCGCCAGCCACTCCATGTGTCTCATTCCTCCTCCAGCAGTCCCTCCACACATCTCATCTACCTCCTCCAGCCCCTCCACACATCTCATTCTCCCCCCAGTCCCTCCATGTTTCTTACACACCCCCCAGCCCCCACATGTGTCTCTCCCACCTACCCCCTCCACGTGTCTATCCACCCCATTGTGACAGACACACACTCACACTGACAGACACACAATCACACTGACAACTTTTTTGACATGCATTCTTCTGGATTTTTTTTTTTTGTTTTGTTATTCTATCTCTCACTGTTAAAATACACCTACCATTAAAATTATAGAGTGATCATTTCTTTGTCGGTGGGCAAATGTTCAAAATCAGCAGGGATCAAATACTTTTTTCCCCTCACTGTATAGACTACAAGCTCCCTCTATAGGTGCTGCGGCACTCCTGGCCAGCTCCGGGTGATTTGATCTTCCTCACTGGTCTTTTTGGTTCCTGCATGACACACATGCTATAGATTGCTTACCTCTGCACCATTGCAACGTGAGGTCTCTATTCTTTTTGTGCCGGAGTGAAACTCTAACACAGACTTATTAAAATGACTACTGACATGCACAATAATTTTGAGCAGTGACAAGCCAAGAACATAGACAGGTCATCCAAATAATATGAGTAAAAATCAAGCAAAAACGCAACTAAAATTTCACATAATTTTCAAAGAGTTTTTTTATTGGATGTAATTGTGGGCAAACTTTAAAACTCATGCAACATGGGAATTGCTCACTTTTGTACTACAGGAGGTAAATAGAATGTGATGAGGGAACTGCACATTATAAGAGAAGCATAACACATTCAGCTTCCAGGGTTCCTGCTTGACCAAGTGAGCAACATTGAAAGATCATATGGGTGATCCTTACCATCAGCTGGAGGAATTCATCCAAGGTTATTCACTAAATGAGCATTGACAGGAATTCAAAGTGAACTTAAAATTAATTTCAAATTATAGGCCAATATAGCCAAACTAAAAACAAAACATGAAGAATTTTCTCAATTTGGCTATTTTAGAATAAATTTTGAAAGCAACTTACTTTGAATTTCCAGCAATTATCATTTATTGAATAAACCTTATAGAGTCAACTGGTGTGGTATGTTTGTGTGCATTAGTTACCATTCCTGTAGGCACATTTAGGCTAAATTAAAAATAAAGTTAGACCTTATGGTATGATTTGCACACTGGCAAATAAGGACTAATTGCTCCCTCCCCTATTTGTGTAATTTATTGTTTGGTATTTTTTAAGCTAACATTTTTATTGTACTGTAGTATAATTATGAGGTATATAAAAAGCAACTTGCCTTGGCCTGTCTTCCTGTTTTCTTAAAATATAAAGCTAGAATAAATTCCTAAAGCTTCACTTAATATGGTTTAATGGACAAAGGCAATATAGTAGATATGGCCCAATCATAACTGTAGCCCCCAGCTTAAGAAAGGTTCATGTTTGAGTCAAAATGTTTCCTGTTTGATCTCAATAATGCCTACAATTTAAGCTAGAGGCTATGTGTGCTCTGATATTTTTGTCTACAATTCATGAGGAATTAGTGGTCTCCCTGGTGTGGCACCATAGTGTTAATCCCTCTATTTTTGATTGGTGAGTGCAGTTCCTGTTTCAAATGTGAAAAGTAACTGAACCCCCTGTGACCATTTTAGTCCAGCTAGTAGTTTTTAAAAATGCCAGAGGTTGTATAATTATGGCAGTAAATGGTTACTTAGGAATGGATATTGGCTTATCTGATGGGCTTGCCTCCGGCTCTTGAGAAGGAGATACATTTGGCGCAACTGAGCCTTCTTGTGGGAAATTTGTGTCCTTTCCCGGGCATTGGTCAGATGTGGAGGCCTGTTCAGGAAAACGCCGGATAAATGGTTGGGTTGGTCTACAAAGATTTGGTGGAGAGAAAGGACTTCCTTGTCCTGGTGAATTGGATCTAGATGAGAAAATTTTTCTCCCTTTCTCTTGAAGCTCGGGAGAAGATGTAGATTCTATAGCTACATATGTAATTCTGCCATAAGGAGACTGTGGCCGAGCACATCCCACATGCACTTGGGAGCTATTATGCCTCTGGTGATGTTCATGACTTCCACTGTGGTCATGATCATGTTTATGGCCATGCTTGTGTCCATGTTTGTGTCCATGTTTATGTCCATGCTTGTGCCCATGTTTATGACCATGTTTGTGACCATGTTCATGACCATGTTTGTGATGAGAGTGTCCATGCTTCTTTCCATGGTGCTCTCCATTCTTTCCATGATGATGTTTTCCAGGAAGATCAGGTTTATCTTCACTAGAGTCAGTCTAGAATACAGATACATTTAAATTATTTTTACAGTGCTCTTCAATACAGAAAGAAGGTACATGAACAATAGTAATATAAAAATACAATCACAGAGTATGGATTTGGTGGTGATTAACCTAAGAGCTTAGACTAACAAGCTTTTATATATAGAGTTAATATATCCAGCATGTTTTCAGAGACACATATAATTTTGCCATATTTATGAAAACGCATGAAAAGGGGGAAAAAAAAGCCAGTATGTATTAAACATATTTTGGAGGTCCTTCATTGCCGAATTACTGCATCTTGTATACCTTCTTCTGAATTCTACATACTACAGGGCAACCCTTGTCATGTGCTGCCTGTTAAAATGCATATGTAATATGTGTCCCTGAAAACATAGTGAATTTGGTAACCCTATTAATGTGTGATGCTTTGGCATGATAACATAGAAGAAGCCAATTATAGGACATTAGAATACCTAAATATGGGAATTAAAGTAATACTCAAAAAACCATAACCACTAAAGCATACTTTAGTAGTTAGGGTCATGCTGCCCATATGAGCCAAGTGCCCATTCCCCCTTGTAAGTAGTCACAGTCTTACACGTGGAGTTCTGGGTGCTGCTTCTCTCTCATCTACAGTAGCTTCTGTTAGCTTCCCTGAGCTAATCCATGTAGGGCCATCTCATTGGCTGAGAGAATTAGATTATAGTTCTCAGCCAATGGTCTAAGCTGTGCCTGTAAATTGCTTAGCTCAGACAGAGAACTTCCGGCTCTGCTGTATGCTCTAAAATGGTTTATCCTCTTACAGTGGTGGAGCACCAAGACACTCTTAGTACCATAGTGGTTATGAGTGATCCTTTAGAGGACAAGTAAATCAGGGAATTATCAATAAAAATATTAGATTACAATATTGTATAACTTTTGATACAGTTCAAAGAATCAGTTTTAAGAATCAGTTGTATGCCAAAGGACCATTAGTAAAACATTCTTTGCACAGGACTAATATTAAAATACTACTTTGTAGGTTTATCTTACTTGAATTACATGTGATCTAATATTTGTAATATTTTTCAAAGATTTTTTTTCCATTTGTACATTTTTGTGCCAGCATGGTCCTGACACCCCTTTTTCTTTGTAAGAAGTCAACCCATTTTAGAACAGTTTGACTTCTTTCTTCTTGCTGGTTCTACTCCCTATCTTCACTACAGCTAGAGGAGAGTAGGAGCTGGGGGGGGAATGAGACACATGGAGGGGCTGAAGGAGTAAAATACCCCCCCGAAGAGAAATACAAAGTGGGCTGTCTGGGGCAAAATAGACAGACAGGGGAAAAGGCAAAAAAGATAGGAGTTTGGGGGAGACACCCAGAAGAGCAGTGGGTACACAAAAAGACACAAAGTGGCTGGGGAAAGAGCAAAAGAGACAGATTGAGACTAGGGAAGGGGAAAATAGACAGACAGGGGCTGGGTTGAGGGACATAGAGAGGCTGGGAGAGAAAGAGACACAGAGGGGTTGGGAAGGGGAGAAAGAGACACACAGCATAGCCACTAGGGCACAATATAGTGCAGGGGTAGGCAACCTTTTAGCAGCACTGTGCCGATATAGGATTGTGATGTCCCGTAGCATGCCGGTCCTATTTTTTTTTTAAATTGAGGTGTGTATGCTGCCGTATTCTGCTTGTGTTATCTTTACTGTAATTGCTTTGTATTGTTGTATTTGTGCGTATATGAGCTATTATATTGTTTATGTTCATTAGTAGTTTATGGTATCGTGTATGATACATATGAATGGGGGCTGCTTGTGGAATTGTGTGTGTGGATGGATATGTCACCTTGTGTGTTTGGTAGTGTGTGGGGGCTGTTTGGGGTATTGCATGTGAGAGGCTGCATGTGGGGTTGTGTGCATGTATGTGGATTGTTAGTGGTGTTGCGTTTGTGCGGATTGTGTGTATGTTTGTGTGTGGGCTGTCCGTATTATTTGTATGAGGGGAGGGTTATTCTGCATTTGTGTGTTTATCTAGCAGTGTGGGTGGCTTCCCTGGGTTCCAGTGGGGACCAGGACAGCCAGGTACAGGTCAAGGACAAGAGCTGCAACAACAACTGCGAGCTGCTCTAATACTGTGTGGATTCCCATTCACAAGTGCTGGAATGAAGTGCTCTGAGATCACTTCCTCTACGTGCTGCAATGCATAAATTGAGGATTGTCCTTCACCACCTCTTCATATTAGCAGATATCTGATGTTTTACTGGGACTCCTGAAAGGCCAGAACCGGTTTGGCTCTAGCAGCCTTGAGTGCCGTACAAAGGCACCTTGAGTGCCATGCATGGCACTAGTGCCGTAGGTTGCCTCCCCCTGATATAGTGGGTATGGTGCTTGAAGTGACCATTCACTTACTGCTTGTCCTTAAGAGGATATGCGATCACTGAGTAAACCCCTCTGTATACAGGTAATGACATGCCCCCTCGTATTCATTTAATCAGAGTACGGTAATTAATTTAACATTGGTACCTGACTATGCCAAACAACATGAGAGAACAGATGTAGTTTTGTGATAGCAGCCCCTGTTGCTTCTTCTCCCTGAACATCTTACTGTGCTATTGAGGAGTGCACAAATAATGAGGGTAGCACGTTTGCCATCTCATAGTCCTTATTTCCATAATGCCATCTCAGTGTAAGTAACCTATGATGTTCTGGTGCTGTTCTAATGACCTCAGACAAAAGGACTATATAATACCTTGGTCTGTAATACTACTTTTGACTTGTATTGACTTTTCTGACCACTTTATCAGAACATTGGCTTGTTTTACCATGGTGTTGCTACTCTTTTCTCCTTTGACCACTTCTGGCCTGTTCCCATTGCACGTCACATTACTAGTGTACCCCCAGTCTAGCTTACTCCGATCACAATTTTATGCAACCCAACATTGAGAGGTAGGAAACAGTATTATTTTAATATCCCAAAAACTAGTAAAATTATTTCTCCACCTCAGGTTCAAATACTTTGCAGGTGATTGTCACAACTGGATCAGCTGGGCGGCTAAAATGCGATATTCCTTTGCTCTTGCAGTAGCCAGTATGCTGGGAAAAGAAAGTTCAGATAGTTCATTACTAGTAAATTAACCCTATTTTACAACATAGTTTCATTAACTTTATATTTAATGTGAGGCTTTTTAATTCAGTTGTGTTTCTAACTGTTGACCACCATATTTTTCTTATTGTTAAAATACAATTGTGATCAAATTTTTACTTCTCGTTTTTTAGACATTTATTACATTTGATTAAACTTTTTAAATGTTTTATATTTAACTTTTTATCTGGCTCAGCAGCCATGTTGGGTCAGATGTTACGTGGCCAACTGCTCCTCAATCTTACATGCTTGCTGGTGTGTTTGCATTGTATGCGCTTGCAGCAACAGGCAAGTTAGTTTGAGCAACAGTTGGGTAGATAACAATAGACTCTGACCCATTATAGTTGCTCTTTAAGACAAAAATTGGAAATTTTCTAAAAAAATAAATAACTCAATATTCATATTTCAAATAGTTTCATTACATGTAAAAAAACATTTAAAAAGCCAGAACAGTCAGAACACACTATTGAATTTAAAAGCCTCATTCACCAAGTATATAGATCACACTTTTTTTTGCAAATAATTCATTATTAAATAACCTATTGTTCTGTTGATTATTTTACATATAGGTACCCATGAGCACAGACTATACACAAATGACTATTTTGCTGTTATTGTACGTGCTTGGCTGTACTAAATGGTGGACTTTTAATTTCTGAAAACTCCTTTATATATAAAATGCATTTTTGTAAATTGATCAGAGATGTATTTAAGTAATTTAATCTATAAATAATAGGATGGGGATAATCATTTGTTTCAACATGCTTACACTAAAACAACACTTGAAAATGCAAGCATTCCATGTGTTAATGTTTGGAAGAATCCTGGATATACACTGATATACACTATTTAGCCACCACCTGCCTAATATCGTATAGCTCCCCCTCAACCTGTCCAGACAGCACTGATGTCTCAAAGCATGGACTCTACAAGATCTGTGAACATGTCCTATGGTATCTGATATTAGCAGCAGATCTTGTAGATCCTACAAGTTACCAGTTGGGGCCTCATTGGATCAGATTTGTTGTTACATCACATTCTATATGTGCTCAATGAGATTGAGACCTGGTGAAATTTTAGGCTAAAGCAACACCTTGAACTCTTTGTCACATTCCTCAAACCAATTCCTGAGCAATTTTTGTAGTGTGGCAGGGTGCATTACCCTGCTGAAAGAGGCCACTGCCATCAATGAACACATGTATATGATCTGTAACAATCTCTAGGTAGGAGTTACGTGTAAAATGATGCATTCTGTATTCTGGCACCTTCTATCATGGCCAGCTTTAAGTTTTTCAGCAATTTGAACTACAGTAGCTCTTCTCTGTGATCAGACCAGACGGGATAGCCTTTGCACCCCACATGCTTCAATGAGTCTAAGGCAGCCATGATCTTGATGCTGGTTCACTGTTTGTCCTACTATGCACCACTTTTAGTAGGTACTTACCGCTGCACACTGGGAACAACCCACAAGACTTGACATTTTGGAGATGCTCTGACCCAGTCATCTAGCCATCACCATTTGGCCCTTGTCAAAGTCACTCAGATCTTTTCACTTGCCCATTTTTCAAGAACTGACTGTTCACTTGCTTTCTAGTAAATCCCACCTCTTGAAAGGTGCCATTATAACAATATTATCAACGTTATTCTCTTCACCTCTCAGTGGTTTTACTATTGTGCCTAATCAGTGTATGTACTATATACGTAGCAATTCTGGAGCAGTATTCAGAAAGCTGAGTAATTGCCATGGGAACCGTCAGGATACTCCAGCTGATTGCTCCAAAGATGCCACCCAAATTCCTCTTTATTCATAACCTATTATATTACATAAAAATATGTATTGTATCTCGTTTACCGATTTATTCTATGTGGTCTGCCACTTATTTAGAATAAAGCAAATACAAGCAATAAAGAAAATGAGAAGTCTCAAGCAGTATTGAGTTCATAAAGTACATGTGAGATCAAACTAATTTAACATAAAATTAAACAATTTATCTTGCATCTTGAATATATCCCTATGTATCAAGCTATAGTACATAAGTTAAACAATTCTGAACCACCTGCTTCCTGCTTATATTTTTCTCTCATAAAAAAAACAAACAAAAAAAACAATTTACACTTACTGCAGATTCAGAATCTGAGGGTGGGCAGAGGTCCGGATCTCCAGAAGATGTGGATTTGTTACAGTTAGACTCGTGAATTAAAAATTCCACCTTGTAGATAGCTCCAGCCACCACCTTCCAATAACACCATCCAAAAGTAAAGGTTTATAAATGAAAATGTTATGACATTCTATACAAACACACATATATATGTAATTATGTAAGTATTCAAATACATATATATGACTTAAGTTAGTGGAGTGGCTTCAACAGATTCCAGATGGGACATCTGAGATCGCTGTCCAGAAGAGAAAGTTCTAGGAACAGCTAAGATACTGTGCAGAATCTTAAGACTCCCAAGCCTTTGGTAGAATATATACCACCCAGGAGGGGTGAGAAAATATACTTAAATGTAATTATTTATTCATATATATATATATATATATATATATATATATATATATATATATATATATACACACACACACATATATTTGCATAGTTACATAATTACATAGGTTGAATAAAGACTCAAGTTATTTAAGCTCAGCATTAAGTTCAACATTTCATATGTCTGTATTACTGATGTTGATCCAAATGAAGACAAAAAAAAAAATTTTAAGCAATTAAGCAATTTAAAAGTTAAACTCCTTATGTGCAGTGTTTCATATGCAAATTCTGCATTTAGAGACTCAAGCCCTAAAGTGTTAATGGTGCCTGGAGTAACCTTTTAAGATGTAGTGGATTTGGTGCTTAGAGTTTCCCTTTAAGGACACATATATGTATGAAATGGCTATTGCTCCATTATCTATTATTTTGTATGTCTATATGTGTGTTCTTACCTGAATTGTACCTTTTGTGATATTGCCAAGAGCAAAAAAATTGTCAAAGTTGTTGTCCTTGTTAAATTTCTTAAGCCCTTTGTTTGCAACACTGTGAAATCTGGTGTCATTCAATGGACGTGTCATGGGACAACCAAGACATGGAAAAGGTTCATTAGCTGGCAGATAAAAAGCAAAGGTTAGCATTACCAATGAATGAATTATTTTGTGAAATGCATAATTATTAGAAAATTATATCAATACACATCTACGTATTAAAGGAATACTGCAAGCATAATAACAATAACATATAGTTGTTATGGTGCCAGGAATGCCCTGGAACCAGTGGCGGAACTACCAGGGTCACCCGTCACTCCAGAGTGCTCGGCCGCCCTGCGGACCCCTGCGACTGCAAATGTTCCTACCACTCTGCCTTTTCTGCATTTATTCTATATGTGTCTTTATGTATTTGTGTCAGTTATGACAGCTACGAAATATTGACCTTGACAGCACTCCACTGTTTTTTCAGCTAATCTAGTTTGGCCTTAAATTTGCAATTCTATTAATACATCTCTGCAATCCTCAGTTTAGTGGATAACTAAGAGTTAATTTACTTTGGATTTTTGACTTAATATACCAATTACAATAGAAAAAGATTAAGTGTTGTAAAAAAAACTCCATTAAAGTGACACTGTAATCACCAGAGCAACTACAGCTTATTGTATTTGTTCTGGTGAGTAGAATCATTCCCTTCAGGCTTTTTGCGGTAGACACTATTTTTATTTTTAGAAAAGTCAGTGTTTACAATGTAGCCAAGGCAAACCTCTACTGGCCACTTCTCATATGGCTACTACAGGTGCTTCCTAGCGCAGTGCTCACAGTGTGCAGGATAGCCATTAAGTGTCTCCACCCTCTACATGGAGACACTGAACTTTCCTCACAGGGATGCATTGATTTAATGTATCTCTATGAGGAGGTGCTGATTGACCAGGGCTGTGATTGGCTTGTGCTGGCTCTGCCCCTGATCTGCCTCCTTGACAAGCTCAGTCAATCCAATGCTTTCCTATGGAGACGCTCAGAACACCACTTCTGATGATGCCAGCCAAGTAGGCAAAAGTAGGCCAGCCATAGCAGAGCGAACAGCAGCAAGCTGAAAATAAAGGTAGGATTTTAGGGGACAAAGGGCACGGGGCAGTGGCAAGGGAGGTCGGGGGGGGCTAGATCGTGATTTCAACAGTATTGGGCCAGGAATACATGCTTGTGTTCCTGATCCTATAGTGTCCTTTAATTAAATCCATGGAAAAATGGTCCAGTAGTCTCCAAAATATGAAGTGCCAAGGCTTGATAAAGTGTTAGCTGAAATCTTGGCACTTCTGTGCTCTCTGCTATGCACTAAATAAAGCAACACTTTATTTTTTAGACTTAACTGTCTCAAGGAAGTATACATCCATACTGAGCTTATGTGACCAATAATACAGGATACAAAATAGAACAAAATAGTTTATGATTTCAGTATCAGTCCTTATTGTTGTTAGTGCATACCTGGTGTCAACGTGCAGTCATATTTGATCAGGTTGGCAATTTCCTGTGGTTTATCTACATGAAATATCACTCTGCACTCTCCAGAAACCTACAAAAAAAAACTCACAGTAAATAAATAAAGGATAGGTTTATATAACTCCAAAAATGTTAAAGTAAGTAAAATTCTGTGTATTGATCCCTTCACTACAGAGCACGTGACTGAAACATATTACCATAAGATGTTTTTAAAGTATTGGATGCACAGCTGGCATATAATCATATCATAACGCAGAAATTGTGTATATAGATTGAAGACCTAGCATAGGCAACCTTCGGCACTTCAGATGTTTTGTACTACACCTCCCATGATGCTTTGACAGCATTACGGGTGTAAGAGCATTACGGGGGATGTAGTCCAAAACATCTGGAGTGCTGAAGGTTGCAAATCCCTGTTGTAGACAAACAAAAAAAATTATATTTGGATACATTTTTTGGGGGAAATGAATAGCTTTAGAGAGCATTCTGAAATATTAGTACAAAAGAAAAGATGCAAGTCTTCTCACATACCGTAGGTTTGACAAAAATAGTTTAAAAAATAGTCAAATGTATTGCTTATAGGTATTTGTAAGGACCCCGAAGGTAATTACTAGCAGGGCAGCCAGGGCTGGATTTGCAATAAGGCCACCAAGTCCTCTGGGTCAGGCCATGGGGTCATACAATTTTGCAGGGCTGGCGCTCAATGTATCATAGTGTTAAATATTTCATTTAATTTTTTTTCAGGCACCAGTTGTCTTTATCCATATGCATAGGGCAGAAAAAAAATTCAAAAACATACTTTTTATAGTATTGACCACTTGTTTATCAAGGATCCAAGCATCAAATTTCTTTAAAATGCAGATATCCATTTCTCTATTTCTCAATGTAAGCTGATATATTTTCAAATAAACTTTCATGTTAGCATTGTTGCTTTAGGTGATATAAAACGTAATATTTAGTAAAAGTTGTTAATGTACTTACAGCTTCATGCCTCGGTTTGGGCTTACAATCCTTCCAGTGTTCCTTGCTCTGCACATGACATTCTGTTTCATACACATCCAGTGTCAGGTAATATACTGTACCTTTACCCTCCTGTGATACATGTTAAAATATATAAATAATGAAATATACCATGATATAATAATCATTTACAAGCACACACACAGATATGCATTCCATGCATACTTACAGACACAAATATACACTCATAGACACACATGCAGAGGTAAGCATTGCCAAATACACAGATACTGATAAACACTGCCAACACACACAGACACACACTGCCAAATGTACACGTTCAGAGGCACATCTGATACACACTTCCAGACACACACTGTCCAATGCACGTTTCCTCTAAATCGTTTCTAAACTTCTTTTGATAGGCTTAAGCCTCTTTTTTAAGTCTATCAGGGTTGTTTTTTTCAGAATATTTTGCTTTGTTAAAATATACGGTTTTGGTAAATCCCTTACATGCAAAACATACACTATGCAACAATGCAACTATACAAAAATATTGAAAATATGTTAGTAAAATGTTATACAAATATCATACTTCGGGGGCGGGGGCGGGCCGCCAAGCAGCATGGCAGCAGAACACTGTGGCTCCGAGCTTAAGCCCTAAACAACGGCATAAAACTTTCTCACAACTTGCCCCAGGGCCGGATTACATGCTGCATTACAATGGGGTACTACCCAAGCACCCATATGATACCAGACTACGGCCAAAAATTCACAGGGAACACCGAGACTGATGAACCCGGCCTACACACCTGCATAAGCCTGCATGAGGACAGCTGCAGATAGAGAACAGATGCCTGATTGCAAGGCCCGAGGTACAAGCACACCAGCTATGCAGACACTGGGGGAGATTTACACGGGTGAGAGCTGCGGCCCCGCCCCCCCCCGGCCGGAGGGGGTAATCCCGGCTACATGGAGGCTGCACGCCCTGGGGTGGACGCAACCACCCGGGGTGCTCGCTGACCTCCTGCACAGGCACTGGCTGCCAACTGCGGCCCGCCAGATATCTACACTCAAAATTCAGGGACGATTATTGCCTACGCTACAGGATTAACGCGCACCCTGAACTTAACGGCCTACAACAGCCCTGCCTTGCCATCAGAAGCTGTCCTGTGGATACAACACCCGTGGTTGAAATGGGGCCCCGGAGGCGATGTATGTGGGTGGGGGGGCCAGGCGGGATGCCGCTGTGGTGTCCTTGGGGCCCACTGGCCGGATGCCGCGACCCTTGGACTGTGCCCTGCTGAGACTGAAGTGCCGTCACCTGTGGGTAATATGTTCATGCTATAATGCTGCCTGCTTAATATATTTTTCTAGTCTTGCATACACTGCCCATGCAGCAGTGTTCATATGAGCTTCAGTTTAAGGTCACAATTTCTTAGATAATCTTATATTTGTAGCACACGCAGACAAAACATACGTTAAGGATACCCGTATGTCTGCGCAGTAGCTGATACAAAAAAATTGTGCTTTTACAAAGATCATATGGGGTTAGGGTTTTTATTTTTTTTATTTTTTTTATTTTTTTATTTCAACCAGCTTACAGTTTAACCATTCAGTGCTTATTTTCTAGATGTGTTTGTAACCACGCACGTACAGATTTTGTGGGTCCAATCTTAGGGACATTGATTACCTCTTACCTGAGGGCACGAATTAAAGACTTACAACATACTACCCTGTTAAATGTGGGGAGAGGAAGTTATACAGCAACCAATTAAGCCCCTAATCCCCCATTACCTAATCATTGAATGTCATGTTAACATCTCAGAGTGAAATACTAACCCTTTCTCTGATTTCCTAATGATGAGCCCTTGTGTTATACCATAGGTTAATCTCCCCCTGCCAGCATATGGGGACTCACTAATGGGTTGCTGCGTATTGTTTAATCAAATAAAGTTGAGAATAGGCATAAAACATTATCTAACTGGACCCGTTATAATTCAGCGTAGACAACAGTGCAAATACCTCGGTTCAGATTTAGCTAAACATTGTACTGCTAACATAAGCTGACTGAAAAATAAGATGCAGAGAATGATCTCTTCTTGCTAATGTTGGAACGGATATGCAATATGACATTTGCTTAACCTTAGTTATGTTACTTGTGTTCACATAATTTAACCTTTCTGCCTTACTAGGCTTTGACTGTTCTCATTCAATATAAAATGCACTCTGTGGCATATGCCTATGTCGAAAAGCTTATTATGATACATTTGTCTCCCCTGCGTGGGATGACTGCTTTTCCTATGCACCAATAAACTTATTCAAAACAAATATCATACTTCCTGGTTGTTTAGCTCAGTGAAGCTAAATTCAGGAGGCAGACAATTGCTCAGAGCATCTGTCTTGTAAAGATTCCTCATTGAGCTGCATTGGGAAGACTGTGATTGGACAGCCACAGAAAGTGTGGACGGAGTTAGAAGGGGAGGGCTTGCATACACTGCAGAAATGAGAACTGCAGTATTTGCAAGCTGTTTGTAAATATACACCCAATAAAGAAATGTAATTGGGGGTATATCTACAAAATTGTGATTTTTATTTTACTTTATATTTGGGTAGTGGAGTGTCCATTTAAAATAAACAAATACATTTTATGTTTGAACGCAGATCATAATGTAAGATAGCTCAATTGGAAAAACTTTTGTTAAGATATTCTAGTCATGCAATTACATTGTAGAGCTCCACTACAAGTAAGAATAAAAATATTAAACATACATGTCCTCTATGGGCTTCTGTACTATCAGTCTTCTAAGTCTTATATTTATTTATGTGTCTATAAATTGATAACATTAAATATAAGGAATCATTGTCACTTTCATATTTAATAGTACCAGAAAATAAAAATAAATATATTATGAGGGTATTTGGCTATAAAATATTTAGCAAGAAATATAATTGTTTTATATAATAAATATAAAGTAAATCTATCATTTTTTTTATAATGCATATTCATATTTTTCCCCATAGTTGCTTTAATATAATCACATTAATTATATATTAATTAAATCTGAATTGTAATTATTATAAAATATCATGCTTTTCATATTTTCTCATTGTATTTTTATTTTTACCTCATTATGTTCCTGCACATTGGAAATGCGCTTTATCCCCAAGACAAAGCCGTCTTCTCGGAAATCATTTAACTCGTCAATAGACAAATCTGCAGCGAGTTCTACTTCAGGGTCATTGCAAGCAGGAGAGGTCAGTGGAGTTTCTTCTGTCTGTTTTCTACCAGCCCTACAGCAGAGCACCTGAATGAAAGCTATTAATAAAATAGCGAACTTCATCCTTCTATGTAGAAGGATACAGAGAACAAAGCCCACTGAAACCAGCTAGTAGAGAAATAATCTGCTGAAGATGGATTTAAGCCTCACTTATATATATTGAAACTCTATGGAACACCAAACCACCTTTAACTGGTTTCAAATCTCAGTAAACACACAAGAGTCAATGATTAGGAGAATGTCCAACAAACCACTCTTCAAAGTCAGGGCTACTGCTTAAAGTTCACCGCAAAAACATACCTGCATTTAAAGTCCTCTATATTAGCGTTTTTCAACCTTTTCACCAGTGTGTATGAAAACAAATCTTAAAGGGACACTCCAGACCATTAAAACACTTCATATATCTGCAGCCTGTGCTTGTACCTGGCAAAGTTTCATTGTGAGTCTCAGGCATGATGTTCATAGGTAGGCAGGAATGAAAATAACATAGAAAAATATGACATAGATTTGTGGTCAGGGAAAAAAGCAGAGTAAGCGTTAACCTATAAATATACTAAAGTTGGTTGTGGTGTGCCGAACCCGATGTTCAGGCAGGCCTTTAAATAAAGAGGGCAAAAAAAAGATTTTCTTGCAAACTTTAATACATAAGTAATCATTAATAACAACCGTGGAAACACAGAGTAATAATCATTACTTGCCTAACTCTTTGAATGCTAGTCTACGTTCTTTTTCTGGTTGGGGTATGTAGCAATTATATGATGATAACTTCCATCATCCTACTCTTTTGATTATGTGCACTGGTATGTTTTTACTAGAGGCTGCTGTTTCTGCCCCTACATGGAAAGAATGGCCTGTGAAGGCTGATAAATCACAACCTATTTTTGAAAATAGCGTTCATCTACACCATGCATTTTGATGTTGTCAGTGGTTTGCCGTGTAAGCTCAATAGAGGAGAGCTATTGTCCTGACACAAAAGGGTCAGATGAAATTGGTTGAGTAATAGAACTGGGCACCATTTGTTGCCTGTGGGAAATAGTTGTATTTCGTCTGGCAGCTCTGTTTGATTTGTTTTTGACTCGTAGTGTTTGTTTTTGTTTCGAATGGTTGAATATCCAACATATCAGATAACACTCTAAACTTGTTACCGTCTATTGGTTGTCGTTTTATGGGTTTGTGACCTTCTTATCGTAGGATGCCTTTTAAGATGTTCTTTATTGGGTTTTCCTGACATAAAGTTACTGTGACTGGGGTATGTGTTTACCACGGGGTATAGTATACCTGTGAGATATAGTTTTATCGTATTATGTGCGAGTTTTAGATTTAGGTGGCAAAAAGAGCCAAAGGCCAGCATAGTATCCAAGATAATCAGGGCCTTTATTTGGTATTCATAAATTAACCTGTTGAAGATGGTGAGAGCTCGGCTGGATGAGCGTCTGGTGCTAGCATTCTTCCACGTGCCATTAGCATCATTAGTCCAGGATGAGTTCCTTGAATAGTGATTGTCTGCTTGGGACTCTCTTGGCCGTGGGATAAACTTGAAAGAAAACCTGCAGGTTGGAACGAGAGAGGGCATCAGCTGCCAAATTGTGATTACCCGGTACGTGCTCACAAATCAGGTGAAATTGTTGTGTTGCTGCCAACCAAGTGAGTCTCTTGATGAGACTCATGATAGTCAGGGAAGAGGATCTGCCTTTGGTAATAATTTTGCATGCTGCAGTGTTGTCTGTGCATCATTTTATCATCTTCCCTTTCCAAATGCGGCTCCACACTAGGGCTGCAGCCACTATGGGTAGATTTAGAAAAGGGCAGAGGTAATGGTGAATGATGGCAGAGTTGATGAACCCAAAAATGGCTGCGGACCCTGAGTGTGCCACCACGTCTGTCCATAATACAGGCGAGTTTTCTGTTAAGGGCAAGATGAACATGTTTACGCCATTCCCGTGTGTCAAGAATTGGTGCCACATGTTCAAATCTGCTCTAGCCTGTCCTTCCAACGTGACTATGCTGTCGTCGCTTGGTTGACTTGGCAATAGCTTAAGTAGTCTTGAAATAGACGTGCAACCTTGTGGGATCATCCTCATGGCAAAGTTCAGAGAGCCCAGGAGGGATTGGATAACATATATCCATATTGGAAAAACGTAACATATATTACTAGATACCATATGTATAAAAAGATAGAAATCAACTCTACACTTTTTATACATATGGTATCTAGTTATATAATCACTTTCTATTTAGATACATAGCAACTTTTCTGTTTGTTTTATATACCACGGAAGGCCTTTACCTACTAATAATGTGCCATTTGTACAAATACCATTACGTTTATTTAATACATATATGTCTGAGTATATGCAAACACAAGAGCCTAATACCACAACTTCCGTGGACAAATAGAACTTCAAGGGGAACGCACACATCATACTGTAAGAAATTGATATTCCAAACTGCAATATTGTATATAACTTTCTGTGTATGTGACTGGTTTCACAAGTTGGGGTCATTTACTTGATAACAGTGTGATAAGGATCAAAGCTTTCAGTTGCATTTTACACCACTCAGCTAAGACAAAAGCTCACATCCCTCCAGTATTCCTTGCATGTTATCAGGAGATCAGAGTAATAGACATCTAGGTGAAACCATGGAAGTGTGTGTTTTCCCAAGCAGTCTAACCAACCCAGAAACCAACCCTAACTGGTCACTTCTTTCAGAACATTACAGTATAGCTGGAGGGAAGAGATCAAAGGGAAAGACTTGTGTAAAGACAGAACTCTCTGGAGAAAGAGGGTGGGATAAACCACTTTTGGGAGGGAAAAGGGATTCTGGGACTTGTAGTTTATTACTCCAAGAATCAGTCTTTAAAAGGACAACAACCAAGGAAGGCTCTCTCTTTCTCTCTCTCTTTGGAGAGGACAACGCAGCAAGCAGGGCCATGGTGAACTGAGAGAGGCTGTCCCAGATTACCCAAGATGAAGGCGCAAGGGGAAGACCTGCATTTAAATGTTTAAGTATTGCCTTTTTATTATGTAGCTTTTGATTATGTACCGGATATAATGTATAATGTATATTGTGTATATCCTTTTAAAATCTAACAGTATCCTTAAATGAATATTTATAATACATTTTATTATACACTTGTGTTTATGTCTTATTTGTCACACATTCCCTAAAAGAATATCCTTGTAAGAGGGTCATAATTTCTTACAATACGACATGCGTTCCAGTGACACTGACTATGCGTTCTAATGACGCAAGTCATATGACCTGGAAATGGAGCGCATGACGCATGATTTGGAACGTACGACACCGAGGAGGCTCCCCCATCATACACCGACTGAGGAAGCCCCCACCATAGGGTGAAATGCATATCGGGCTTACTAGCCAGCAGGTTGTGCCAACATTGGATTTATTTTAACCTAATTGGACTTTTTTACTTTTATCCAGTCTTTTTTACTCGTTTTTTGTACACATATTTATTGTGTTTATTGGACCTAATAAAGCCTATTTCTTCATTATCACAGACCCCTGAAGGGCTACATAGAGACCAGCAGAAAGAGGGATGGGGTCATCCTATTTAGAGTCCCTCTGCACTACCCATGAGAGCCATATGTTCATATTTGGTTCTGTGTTTGTGAGTACCTGAAAGCTACAATTATCTGTATATTCCTTATATTGGCAATATTACACCAGGTTATGTTGTCCTTTCTTGTAGAATCATCAGACGTGTTCCACCTATTGTATGTATTTTGGATTTTTCTTTAGAGTTATATAAGGGGTTCCCACTTAGGTGGTTTATAGCAGGTATTGCTAACACATATACCCACTTATTGTGTATTTCACTCTGTCACTATTATATCTCTAGAAACGTCAGTTTGGTGGTGCGAATCACTGTTTTATTGGTAGCCACCAGTACTCTCAATGTGGCAAATATAGCTACTGTCTTGTCTGTGCTCTGGGGGGTGGTATTCGGATTTTCTACTGTCAGAAAGTCATCCAAGTAATGGACCAACACTGGACAACAGCTGATGTTCTGCAGTGGCCAGCACAGAGTTTCTGCGAACAGATTGAAAAGTTTGGGGCTACTTTTGGCACCAAAAGTTAACCGGGCTGAAGAATAATAAAGACCTTTCCATTTCTTTCCATGTAAATTCCACAGTGACAGATGTATTGGTAGCAGCTTGAAGGCATTCGAGATATCGGTTTTGCCCAGCCAAGCTTCTTCCCCAACCTTCAAAATTGCCTGTGTGGCCGTGTCTACTGTGGCAAACTGCAAAGAAAATTCCTCATAAGGTATCAGTGAATTTAGGCTTGGAACAAAAACAGAGTGTGGAGCCAAAAAATCTATAATCAAATGTTTTTTTATTTTTGTATTTCGGTTGCAATACCCAAGGGGTTGGTTTGCCAACAAGTGAAAGGTGGTATTTGAAATAGCCCAAGTATAAGCCCTTTCTCTAGTTCTATCCGTTACAGGTTGTCCACTGTCGTTGGGTCTATTGTGGTTGATTGCAGGTTGTGACATTCAAGTGTGCCTGCTGGGGGTGCAATTAACCTAGTGTGGAACCTCTCTGTGAAACCCGTGATTAGAAATTTAACTAAGTATTGTGAAGGGTGAGAATTAAGTTTGAAAGCTAACATGTCGACCTGTACTTCGGTTAGTCACTTCCTGAGAAAGAGGCGGTTTGGGCACATGTTTTTTGCATGGGTTTGGAAACAGATGAAGCAGACATGCAACCGGTGGTACTAGCCCGGGAAAGTGGTGACAGAACAATTCAGTGTCGATGTGACTCCAGTCTATCCTGATGTTGAGCTGCGCAAAGGTTGCTGCTGCCTTGACCAAAAATGACTTGTGGTAATCGTAAAAATTGATACCACCGTACTTGTTCCCCAGATCTACCAACTTGTGCATATACAAGTCCAGTTCCTCTCTATGTTGTGGGAAATTGAAGCATATCACGTCTCTATATAACCCGAATGCTTGTACAAAGTCTGGAATGGACACTTTTTGTTCAGTCTGGGATTTTTGGCTTTGAGCACCACTGACAGGTCACCGTAATTGTATGTTTTGTTCTCTACTATGTCTTGATATGCTATTAGTAAGGACATAAGGTTTATGTCCTTTCCCTCCTGTATGTTTTTGTTGATATTGGGAGGGACCATATGTGCTGGTGTGACATAGGCGTGCGCAGCCTATTGCATTAGGGTGTGCACCCTAAAGCACAAGCACACGCCGCATATATATATGTATGTATGTATATACATACACATATATACACATACACACACTGCTGAGTGTGTGTGTGTGCTGTGTGAGGGTGCTGTTAGTGTGATGTGTGTGTGACGGTGCTGGTAGTGTGCTATGTGGGTGAGGGTGTTTGTGTGTGCGTGCTTGTGAGGATGCTGTTAATGTACTGTGTGTGAGGGTGCTGTTTGTGTGTGTGTGTGCTTGTGAGGGTGCTGTTAATGTACTGTATGCGAGGGTGCTGTTTGTGTGTGAGGGTACTGGTAGTGTGCTGTGTGTGTGTTTGTTAGGGTCCTGTTTGTGTTTGTGAGGGTACCGTTAGTGTGCTGTATGTGTGTGAGGGTGCTGTTTGTGTGCTGTGTGTGAGGGTGCTGTGTGTGTGTTGGTGCTGTGTATGTCTGTGGGTGCTGTATGTGTGTGGGTGCTGTGTGTCTGTGGGTGCTGTATGTCTGTGGGTGCTGTATGTGTGCTGTATGTGTGTGTGCTGTATGTGTGTGGGTGCTGTGTGGGTGTTGTATGTGTGTGGGTGCTGTATGTGTGTGGGTGTTGTATGTCTGTGGGTGTTGTATGTCTGTGGGTGCTGTATGTGTGCTGTATGTGTGGGTGCTGTATGTGTGTGCTGTATGTCTGTGTGTGCTGTATGTCTGTGTGTGCTGTATGTGTGTGTGCTGTATGTGTGTGTGCTGTATGTGTGTGCGTGCTGTGTGGGTGATGTGTGTGGGTGCTGTGTGTGTGTGCTGTGGGTGCTGTGTGTGTGTGCTGTGCCCCTGTGGGGCTAGAGTTCACTCTCGCGAGATTTGAGCGTTGCCGTGGCAACGCTCATATCTCGCGAGAGGAACCCGGCGGAGCTGCCGGCAATAGCTCCGCCGGTCCTCTCCTGCCTCCCTCCCTGCATGTGGGTCAGTGGGGAGGGAGGCTGAGAGCAGAGCCAGCGCTTGGATAGCGCCGGCTCTGCATGAGCCGACAGGGGAGATCCTGAGATCTCCCATGCCGGTCTCAATATACATAGGCGTGCCGCAGGGATTACACCCGGCACACCCCGTGCGCACGCCTATGTGGTGTGATGATATGTGTGTTGGAGCCCTGTGCCATTTGTGTACCCGTGACAAAATCCTGAGAAACGGTTTGGTCAATGATTTGTGTAGGTAGAATGTCTGGGGAAGTAGCAGGAACAGGTTCTGGGGATTCTAACTTTTCCATTCTCTGATTCAGATTGTTAATGGATGACAGGATAGACATCATCGTGGCCTGAATCCCAATCAGGGTGTCGTTAATATTGTCCTGCGTACTGGTCCCTGGTTGTATCCCTCTATGTCTTAACTCTGCGGCCATCTTAGGGATCGTCCATGATCTCAAGGAACAGGGGCTTGAATGGTCTTGGTTTTCGCCTGTAGTAGGGACAGTAGTAGGAGTGGGTGGTCTAGCTGGCATGCTGGTTAGGGAAACGTCCATAACTTTCAACTTTAACTTTCAAACAATTCAGTGTGATTGTATTATATGATTACCTATGTGTACCTGTTAAGCAGTTGTTTGTACTTATGAATTCTTTAAGCTGTGTACAAAAGTTTGGTGTATATTGTGATTGTTGACTCCAGTTATTTGTATAACCTAATTATACGTAAGCTAAATATGCTTATGACTGTGGGACTAAGTTGGCCTACATGCCTATGAAATATGTACTTTGCTCTATTCTTTTGGTATTCCTGCGTCAGTACGGATAATGTAAGTAACATTTATTTGTGTATAGCGTACTCTAGATCCTTGTTATGTATATGCCAGAAACAGTTGTAACATGAAAAGTAACTTACGGGATTGTATATTGTGATATGGAAGCACGTATTCGGGTAGATGTTTAGCGTGCCTGTTTGATATGTCAATACTTTTGTCGGTATTATCTATAACCCTTTATACGGTTAGAACCCTTATGCTGAAAGTATGAAAAATATTAAGAGCTAGGATTATACCCAGTGTATATAATAGTTATGCTGCCAAGTTGTGACTGTAACATTTCCCTCCCTCTCCCCTAAGCCTAGAACCGCACGAGATTTGACATACCGTGCATACAAAGAAATCAATATGACAAGCGGGAAATCTACTGATCTGTATTCTGAAAGTACATAACAACAATACGAGCTTATTTATTGGTACACATAAGATATTTTCCAACTAGTTGACCATATTTAAGTTTTCCGACGTAATTACTATTAACGTATACCCATGACTAGAATCAGCAACATTGGATTAAAGAGCAATTAAATAGATATTTTAATGATAATAATACATGTCATGTCACCAACATATTCCTGTTTGCTCCAGTGACATCATCTACACATTATGACAGCATTAGTGTAACAGTTATGGTAGTAATATGTAGTTACTAATTTTAACCGTAGATGACAGTGTTGGCACCTGTTCTTTACCTGCAGTTTTGTATCCAAACGGAAAGTTAACTTTATGACTTTTTATACAATTTAATTTAAAGCAATTAACAAATCGTCAACTGTAAATCAATTGCCTGCCCCCCCGGTGCAGCCCGTTTATAATTAGCACAGCAGTGTGTAACAGTTTAGGCTTTTACTGTAGTTAGTATTTTTTGACAGTAGATGGTGGTATTGGTGCGCCTGTGCGTAAAGGGATTGTAATGTTGTTATCTGCCAAAAGAAATGCCTGATTTTTAAACCATGTGAGAGCAGCCGTACGAGGTATTTTCTATGCAAATTGCTGCATATATGTGTAGTTCAGATTGGGTTTGTGTGACCGCGCGCTAGCTTTAATGGTTCATGAGTAAATAAAGTAAGATTTAAGTACAGCTATGCCTACTTGCATTAGAATGGTGGTTTTGGCGCGTTCGTAAGTACTCACGATTACCGGTTGCTCGGGCGTTGACCCAGAAGTTCAGGAGGGAGCCCCAGAAGCTTAATGGCTTTGTGTGCTGGGAGCTACCATGTTTGAACGGTCGTGGCTGGTGTCTCTGATCCGTGGAAGTGTCCTGGCTGTAACTGGACCTCAAAAACCACAAGGGAACCTTCTGGCCGCACCGGAACCAGAAGTCCACGTGACAAATCAAAGTCAGCCCGGTATTGAATTATGTTTGGGCTTATATAGGCTGGATCAACCCCTCCCACAACTCCAGGCTCTGCCTTTCCATATATCATCATATAAAAAGAAAAATACTGTGTATTTGGTTAAAATAAACTTAAATGTATATATTTGCAAGTCAACAAAGGAACTTTGCTGCAACTCAATTTGGTAGAGGATCCAGACCAAAATTCACTAAATGAGTTTGTGGTTTTGTGAGCTCAAAAAGCCCATCACCGGGAGCCAATTGAGTAACTCCGTTATAAATATTGTTTAAACATTAGAAAATGTACAAATTTAAAAAAAAGAGAGAGAGGACCAAACACTGGGCATAACCTGGGTATTTTTGAGGCCATTTAACTTTAGCATGTGTGAATCCCTACAGTGAGTAACCCCTCCAGGAAGCCAGAAGAATGAGCATCTCTATACCGCAAGTAGGGGCATGTCTATTAATTTTCCCACGCTGTGTAATTTGACTCATAACTCTCTGATTGGTTACTTAATCCACCAATCAGAGTGTTATGAGTCAAATTACAGAGGGTTGGAAAATTCCAAAGAACTTTCCCACGCTGTGTAAAAGGACACAGAGCACTCTGATTGGTGGATTTCAAGCCATCCAATCAGAGTGCTGTGACAGGTAAATGTAGAGACTTACCTGTCAGTCTCTTCATTTACCTGTCAGAGCACTCTGATTGGATGGCTTGAACCCACCAATCAGAGTGCTCTGAGCCTAATTGCAGGGCGGGGCAAGGCTTTATAAGCCTTCCCCCGCCCTGCAGAGCTCAGTCTGCGCGGAGCCCTCCATGGGTGAAGATGGATTATTTTTTTTGCGCTTGTTTTTTTTTTTTTTTTTTTATTGCGTCGGTTATTATGGATTTTTATTTGGCCTTTTTTGGGGCTGAAAAAAAGAAGATTTTAGAAGAAAGAAAACATTGCATGGTAAGTTTTATTTTTTTTACAGGTACTTAGTTAAAGGTCCCCCTCATTATTTTTAGGGTGAGGGGGGTGTGGCAGAACCAGCCTCGCCACTGGGCATTGGAGAAGACTGATTACCATCCTGCCATGTGACTATGGCCCCTGGGATGTATTCTGCTCTCCTGTACTGCTGAGGATTGCTACCAACTATGTGGATTTGGCTATGGAGCTTGTGTACTGCCCTCTGTTGGTAGCAACAGTAATATGCACTACCTGAATAGCAAGTCTGGTAATTTGCATATTCGGGTAGATTTGCATATCGCTAATTCTGCATGCAGGAGAGACATTTTGTTAATTATGGTCTTTCTCAACCATTTATAAATAGGTAATTATGTTATAATAAGTCATTGTATGTTGCCTGCTATGATTTGACAGTTTGTAATTTCATTGAGTTTTCACAGCAATGTTAATGTAATGACCATATAAGCTAGTCCCAAGTAAAAAAAAAGTTTTAGATCGTTCTACTTCACCCTCAATTTGAAGTGCCGTCTCTTATTAGGGAATCTGCTACAAGGGATTGCTATGCTACTCATACTCCCTTGCTAAATCACTACTAAGCTCTTGTAAGAGAGTGTTCCTGTCTTGCTCTCTGAAGGAGTGTATGGTGGTTATGGTGTCGGCTGGAGTGCTTGGAGACCTCAGGAAGTGCTAGAAGCATCCTTCAATGGAGGTACTCAGTCGGGGTGACAGGTGATCCGTTACAGGGGTAGGTAGGGGGTTAATTTTTTGGAGGGGAGGAGGGGAGGGGTGACTAGGGATTTGGGGACCCCTAGTCACCTGGAGGGGGGGTTAATATTTTTATTTAGGTCCTCCACCCGCCGCTCATGGGTGGGGGCCAGGGGGGATGACACTCAGCATTCACCAATTAAAAATGTACTCTCTCTGTTATCTTGCTTTCTGCATATGATGTATTTCTGCCTTTATAAGGGGCTCCCCGCCCCTTGATTAAACATTCCTGAAGTTTTCATCAACCTGAAACTTGTGTCTGGTGTGAATCACTTTAGGAGCGTGCACACAATTATATTGATAATTTGGACAGGGGCAGATATTGAAATAATCAAATTTGATCCATAACAGGGTCATTACCTGCCACACCCCCAATCTCACATCATCTTTCCCATATTTACATCAAGGCAATGACCCACCCCATAATACATTTCCAATATATATAGATAATATAACATGTAACGTACCAACATTGATCAATTTCACCTGGTAGGGGTATACCCAAATACCCCTACACCACCGAGGTTCTGAGCCACCAATGGACTCGAAACACCACAGAGGTTCTGAGCCACCAACAGAAATGAAACCTACCAAAACATGTACAAACAGTGTACCCTTTTAACCAATCAACTAACCAATCAACTAACTCCCCTTACTCCTCTCTTAACTAAGGCACATTATCCTTAATGTTCCTTACCCCACCCCGCCACAAGCTCAAACCTTGATACTGTCTGAGCTCCGCCACCCCACAGAAATAACACCTTGGCCAAGCCTTCCTGCAACCCTAAATTAAACAGGTCCCACCCTACATCTGATTGATGGACCTTATTGGGGGAGAAATAGCCCGCTAACACCTCCTTCAGCTCCCTGTGCCAGACCACCACTCCCCCAACCTTCCTGATAAAGCTAGCCATATACCCATTAACCTTAGCCCGGCAGCGACCAACAGCTGCCGGGTCCCGAGCGTGCCGCCAACAGAGGCGGAGAACAATTTCCGACCAGACCAGCTGTACCCCAGGGACACTCACTCTAATCTGGTTAATATCCTGCTTCATCCGCTTAACCAAGAGACGCTGCGGGATAAGCCCAAGGTCATTTCCACCTGCGTGTAAGACCAGCAGATCCGTTCTTCTACACCCCGCCACCATCCTATACATGGCCGGCCTTAGGCCATTACACGCCCTGTGCAAAAAGACTTCACGGCGCACCCCACCAAGTTGCCTGTATACAGTCACACACACAGGCACAAGCAGACAGTCCCACAAACAGTTACAAGCAGACAGTCAGACACACTGAGTTACAGGCATACAGTCATACACACACAGTTACAGGCAGACAGTCACACATGCTCAGCTAAAGGCAGACAGTCACAGAGCCAAACACACAGTTAAATGCAGACAGTCACAAACAGTTACAGGCACACAGTCACAGGCAGACAGTCACACACACAGTCACAAGCAAACAGTCACACATACTCCATTACAAGCAGACAGTCATACACACTCCGTTACAGGCATGCAGACACTCACGCACGATGATAGGCACACACACGCTCAGTTAAAGGCAGATAGTCACACATACAGACACAGGCACACACAACGGAACAACTACAGCGACACACACAATTGGAGTCACACACAGGCAGAGAGTCA